TGTGGACTGAAAGGTCGACAGATCCGCGGGAAGATGTTGGGAGTTGTGAGTGAGGCGACGTTCAGAGGAATTGCGTATATAAATTTAAGATACGACTTGATTGAATGTATATCTCTAGTCGTATACAGCAGGCGTCCACTTTATAAGCCGTGCAATTTATAAGCCGCGTTTTATACTGAGAGAGAAAAAAAGAAATCACGTGTATGTACGTGTTACAAGTGTTCTCCGATTATAACGTTGATACCTTTACTCGTATAGTTGTATAATATTTAAGCGCGAATTCTGTAAAAAATTGTTAATACCTAATAATAAATTTATTATATTTACATAATGATGGAGTTCTTGTTTAAAACACCAAAGTACTCTTTCTCCACAAAAATATTCTTTCGTCGCAAAACACGCGACCGTTCTGCCGAATTGTTATGTAAAGCATTGCGTACGTTTTTTCTGGTTTATTCAAGTTTTCACACAGCTGAAGCAACTTTGTCTGATTCTCACGTAATATGTTTTGCATTTTCACATACAATAAATCATGTCTTTAAAAGCGGGAACGTGTGGAGTATATATATTATCATACAGCACACTTTATTTAAGATGTCTAACATGTCTCATTTAACAGACCATCGTTAACGTTGTTATGTAAGTTTTTTTTTTAAACTAACTGACCTATGATTTAACAACCTCTTCGAAACCCTTGTTAAATTACAGATAATTTGAAATGTACAGATAATTTAAAATGATTTGAGTATTTTGTTAGATACAACAGACAGCATTATAGTCACATTATGAATATATGTTAACGATGCTCCAATTTCACTGTATTACATCTTTTTATACGTAAAAAATTTTGTTATCATTACACTGATGAAGACCTAATCGAAAGAGCTGAAACATCTGTAATTTTTTGCAAAAATCAAATATACGAATTTACACACGTCTAACCTATGTTGGCTGATTTCACACTATTCCTACGTCTATTAAACTGAACCTCCCTCCCCCCCCCCACCACCATCGAAAATCCTTGGCTTTATTTATTTGGCGTAAGAGACATCCTGGAAATGTCCTTAGAACGTCCAGAGGAGACTAGAAACGTCTTTAAAGCTTCTCTTGGAGGTCTGCGTTAAATGGAATGTAAAATTGCTACGCCCTTGTAAAGTTATTGCGTAGCTAACTTTATCGCCTCGATAGTATTTTTAATACATTACACGCAGAGTTGCTGACACGTGATGTGTTCTTCCACGCAAAAATTCAAAAGTTTCAAAGTTTGTTCTAAAATCACGTAGCCCGCTGTGCTTTCGACAGTTTCGACTTTATGCTCAAAAGAGAAAGAAGTTACAATGCAATCGGAGTAATACTCTACATATGCAAGTCTTTAATTAAAATAGTTAAAACATTTTAATTAGAACGTGGGAAATTATACTTGGAGCTGCCTTAGGTCTCACACTCCATCACTCACACTCGTAGGTGGGAATTGTAAGTGTGTCGGTGAGGTACGAACTTGTCGACGGGATCGGTCTGGGTAGCGGGTGGGTTTCAACCGTGCCCGACGATAGAGCGTCGGCGCCGCGACGGCGGGAGCACGCAGACGCATCTGGACCGGCGTCGGTGACGTAGAAACGAGAAACTAGAGGCGAAAGCGAGATCCGGAGGCAGACTCGTTCGTTTTGCCAGGTAACGTTCAGGCTACCCGCGGTGGTGACGACACACTCGATCGCGGTCCTCCTGTCTGGATCAACACGCAAGAAATTGCTTGTAATCACACGAGACAGGCAATTACTGTGTCCACGCGTTACGCGAATAAATACTGGAGGCATTTCATCGATCCTCCAGCGTAACAGGCGGGTCCGTTCTCCCACGTTCGCGACGCCGACTCGGGTCGCGCAAATTTGGAGCGTCCAAACGATCGAACAGAGATGATGTACCATAAAGGGATCGCGAACCACCTGTGAACCGAATCGGAAACGCCAAGACAAGGATGGTCTTTGATGATTACGGAACGTGCATCCGCTTTTGTGATTTCAACACTACAGTGTAATGTTTGTAAGATAAACAACAGATTGTAATTGTGTAATTGTGTAACAGTTACATTGGCGAACATCAAAAGCAAGTGATAGACATTGTAATCGAGAAGAGTGAGCTAACTCGTTCGTGATAGGTAAATACTTGGATATATAGTACTAAATTAGAATAGTGTTTGATAATTTCATTGTTCGTTCATGTTTAATGAATAAATAAATGTAATAAAGTTGTGTAAAAATAGCTAAAGAATTTAAATAGATAAAGAGTTTAAATAGATAAAGAATTCTAAATTGTGTTTGACACGGAGTTTCTGAAATTAAAGAATTAAGGAAATACATACATAACACTCATGTAAATAAAAAGTTCTTGTTAATTATCTTTTCGATAGATTTCTAAAAGAAAAAGTTATCCTAATTTAATTATCCTATATTTTTCCACTTCTGCTAATATTTAAATTTCAGAGTTATTAAACTTTTCCAAATTTTGCCCGTTCAATGTTACTTTGAAAGCAATCAGAAATAATTGAAAAAATGTTTTTTATATAATACTTTTAAACATATAGTAAAAAAAATAAAAATTAAATAAAATTAAATAAAATTAAAAAA